AACAGTGTATTACTGGTTCAGAAGAGTAATCCCATTGGATTCTTCCCCTATGTTTGCCATCCTGTAGTCAGTTTGTGTGTTTATGAATAGAGCCCTATATATGTTATTGTATATATTTGTAGTTTAGATCTAGCTTCTAAATATGAGAAAATGTGCTGTTTGTTTCTATGAGGCTGGCTTACTAATATGACTTTCTAGAGTTCACCAAATTATTAACTCTTTCCAAGCTGACTGTTTTTAGTTTTTTAATTAATTTTTATTGTAAAGGTGATGTACAGAGGTGTTACAGTTACATGGGTCAAGTGATGAGTACATTTTATTTTTCAACGGTACCACCTTCCTCCACAAGTTGTATAGTAGGTATCACTGCCGTATTTGTTCACCCTTTGCCCCAGAACTTCTGTGTTCCTCCTTACATTCCTTTAAACAGAAAAACTTGACATGCAAGATAAAATAAATGTACAGAAATCAAAAACAATGACAGAAAAGGGAAAAGAACAAAAAAACCTCTATTTCCATTTCTTGGAGCAAATTTCAGTAAACATCTTTTCTTTTCTTTTTTTTTTTTGGTCGGTCATGGGCCTGGGTTCTGTCCCTCAGCATTTCAGCACAAGGTTAGCACTCTACCACTTGAGTCACAGCACCACTTCTTGTTTTCTGGTGATTTATTGGAAACAAGAATTTCATAGACTTTCATGTCTGGGCTGGCTTTGAACTTTACTCCTTAGATCTCAACCTCCTGAGTAGCTAGGATTACAGGTGTGAGCCACTAGCACCTAGCTAAACATCATTTTATATGATCATATGCAAATAGCTATTGAGCCTTTGTGATCCTCTCCTAAGAATATCCTCCTTTGGGCTCACTGTGATGTTTAGAATCCTTTATAACTTAAGATGTCCAAGTGTAATTTTTTAACTTTTATCGTCCATTGTGTTTACTTGTAAATTTATAGGCACATTGTAATTACACATATGAGGGAAAACATGCAACTATGTTTCTTTAGGTCCGGTTTACTTTGCTTAATATGATTTTTTCCAACTTTTTCCATTTCCTTATGAATGGTGCAATATCATTATTTTTGATGGAAGTATAGAATTACATTGTGTATATATACTACATTTTCTTTCTTTCTTTATTTTTTGTGTGTTGGTCGTGGGGCCTGAACTCTGAGCCTGGGTGCTGTCCCTCAGCTCTTCAGCTCTCAGTTAGCACTCTACCTCTTGAGCTACAGTTTCACTTCCAGCTTTTTCTGCTTATGTGGTGCTGAGAAATTGAACTCAGAACCTCATGCATGCAAGGCAAGCACTTTACCACTGAGCCACCTTTCCAGCCCAACCACACTTTCTTTATCCATTCATCTACTCAGGGGCATATGGATTGATTCCACATCTTAGACATGGTAAGCAATGCTGCAATGGACATGGTAGTGCCGGTAGCTTTAGTGTGGTCTTGTTTGTGGTCTATTGGATAACAAGCTGATTATTTTCAAACATTCAGTACAGAGTTGTATACTTTCACAAAGAGAGCAATCACCTAAAAAATACAATGTTATTACAGTTTTAAAATAAATTGAAAGGTACAATTTGACATTTATGGTTGGTCTTTAATAGGAACAGAGCTACCCAGAGAGAGTCAATTCTTATTATATTCTTAATTTATAGACACATACCAAATCCAAGCAGTATTCTGAAAAATATTTATAGTACAAGAGCCAAGATCCAGAGGACAAGTATTTTAGTGAAAATAAATAAAAAGTAAGTAACTCAACTGAAAAAGAGAATTCAAAATTAAGACAAAGTTTGACAACTTGGAACCAGAGTTTTGAACCAGTCCTTCCCTGACTGTAACAAAGGTCTTAGAAAATCCAATTCCTCAATCTAGAAAGAGAATCATTATTTACTGAGGCAGAACAATTCCCCCAAATGTGTATCTAATACAGTTTTCAAGCAAGGCCCCCAAATCAGATGTAAGCGAGTTCAAGAAACAGCAGGGCATTTAACTGAGAAAGTTGAGAGCAAATATGTGACAACAAAGCTAATGAAAGAAACAAAAGATAACTGGAAAAGGCGGCTCTTAAATCAAACCACCCTTCTATGCCTGGGTATTTTTTGTTTGATCTTGGCTTGCAGTATTTTCAAAGTGCCAGCCATTAAATATATAAATGTATACCTTGGGGCTTTACTAGCTCTCTGTATGTCATGAACCTTCTGATTTTGATTACAAATATTTCATTAATAAGACCTTAAGTTCCTGCCATACTTTAAAATGGTCCATGTAACTAAAATGGTAAATGGAACAGTCCTTGTATTCAGCCAAGTGTCCTGGTACCTTTTTCAGGAAGTTAGATGGTGATCAAATACACATATGTGATTGTCTCTTGAGACTAGTCAAAGTAACTGTATAGCCCAAGGAATTGTAAAAGGAAGGCTATTCCAAGATCTTCACTATCTCCCAAAGCCATTTCCTTGCTAGCCCTCTTCCCAATTGCCCATTTGTTACATAAACAAGAGACTGTTGTTCCCACTGTGTGCCCTCAAGCAGTTAGTCAGCTGCTGACCTCATAATCTGCACAGCTGTGACATCCCAATATATTGTCATGAAACAGATTGTGATGTCTTAATGGATCACATTCAGAGGTTACAACTGTCAAATGAGACCAGTCTGCTGATTCTTATTAGTTAAATTAAGCCTTGTTACAGCAGAACCAACTAATTCACTCTAATCACTGGGAAATCCAATGCAGATTGTTATATTTTATAGAAAGAACTCATCCCATACATTTTCTTTCTTCTTTAGTTTTTTTGTATTTTAAGTCTTACAAGAAGCTAGTCCCCAAATATGATTTTATTATCCAGTGAAACACTGAATGTATCTCAGTGATGAGTTGGCGTGTGCCATATGACACACACTCACACACACACACACACACACACACACAATATAAATTAGGCAGCAAATTACATCTGTGCATTGGGAGGTCATCACTATGTAATGGTTGTTAGTCTATGCTGAAAATTATGTAATAACAAGAATATTGTCTAGAAGAATATAGGTTGATGTCTCACCCCCAAAACAGCCTTTTGTGCCCTCATTGCCCACTGTTAAAAGAGTTTACCACAGCACCAACATAAAATTCCTGTTCCAAAGGAGTCTAATCTCCTTTCCCCCTGGAGTAGAACTATCCTAACATAAGGCCTGGAATATTTGCTGTTTATTTCGGAATCCTCAGGGCAATCGTGGTGACGGTAGCTTTCTTGACAGTAGAGTTTTAAGACAACTCATATTGTAGTGAGGATATGTTTCGGTGTTGGAGCACTTGTCTAGCATGCACAAGGCACTTATTTTTTCTCAGCGAGGCCTTTTAATAATCAACCCACCCCAAACACATACACAGACATTTTCTCTCTCTTCCTAAATTCTAATTAAATTTTAATTTTCTTGATTTAGAACATATTATGGAAAATGCTTTTTCATTTATTACATCACTAGAACTTGAATGTAAGCCTTATTGTGGCAGGAATTTTGTGTGTATTTTTATATTTGAATTTAAACTCTTGAAAGTGTGCTTCCTGCATAGTGGGAGTTCCATATTTACTGCAGGTATCTATCACAGGTAGGAAAGATTATTGTCTCTGTGACTTTTCTGAGGTACCTTATTTCTTAGTTTATCCACGTAGATTGCAACAGACCGAGCCTGCTATTATGTTGATCTGTTTCTTCTAGATTGCTTTTTCTCTTTTCATCTAAATCAAGAATTATTCTAAATTAATTGGAAAAGTCCATTTCTTCCATAGTATTAAATTCAGTGCTCAGACTCCTCATAAATTATTTTTATTCAATTTCTTTCATGCCCTACTTTAACCAATTGTGCTTTTAATGTAGTTCAGGGATCTCTGAGGAGTGAGGTTAAAAAGAAGATAAGATATTGTTCTTACAAAATTCACTGTCTAAAGGACAGGTATAATTAAACAATAAATTAAAGTACAATCCATCAAGTAAAATAAGGATAGGACCTCATGAGAGAGAGAGGCTACTCACCAGTAGGCACAGTGACATTTCTGGCTGAAAGCCAGGCGCAACAGCTGGAATTTCATAGTAGGGCAATGAGTAAGTTGTACATTCTCAAAGCATGTTTCTTTATCGTTATTGAATGAATACAGGATGGAAGATATTTATGTGATAATTTTAGAAGGCAAGAAAGCAGGGAATAATGGGAAGAACAATGACTTCTTAGAGTTAGAACATCTAGATGTGAACCATTGTAACTTTTATTATTTACAAGTTCTGAAAGTCCATGTTTCACTTCTGAGTTTCTTTGACTCCCTTGTTCAGTTAAAAATGGAAGAGTTAGACTAACTCCAGAGACCATGAACATGGTTTTGCTGAGTTCTTAAATGAAGCCTATCCTTACTCACTTAGAAATGTAAACATGAAGATCCATTAAAATGGTGACTTGGGGAAAGTTTTTAAGCATCTGTATAATATTTTCCAGCCTAGCATTTGTTGTTGTAAATAGTTCTGGGTTCTGAAAATCTTCCATAGAGCCTGAATCTGCTGAAATCTTCACATTTTTAATCAGCTATAACTATATGCAGGATTGATGCCTGAGTTCATTTCTTTTGTATCTCTTCCATCGCCTCCAATCTGATTACAGAGATCAAATCTTTCCATCTTTCCCAATTTCATTTGAAGTTACAATTTTAAATTTAAAAATTCAACATTTAGAGTGGAAAACAAGTGACATTTCCCTTACATAATTTTAAATCAGAAGATGAGATTGAAAAATTAATTAATTTTTGAACCATATGAATTTGCTTTTTTAATGGAAGCATATTGCTATCTGGATAACTTATGTCAGAGCCTGTGGGATTGGCATGTGTATTTCAGATAATTCCCTACTTTGTCAGTCATGCAGTACCTGACATTTTAGTTTTCCCAGAGGAAATTGTTTGACTAGGTCAAATTTACCACCTGTTTTCTTCCTCTTTTTGTTTTACAGCCTTTGCAACTGGACTGTGACCTTTGTGCCGTAGTGTCCAACTCAGGTCAGATGGTTGGACAGAAGGTGGGAAGTGAGATTGATCAGTCGTCTTGCATTTGGAGAATGAACAATGCCCCCACCAAAGGTTATGAAGAAGATGTTGGCCACATGACTATGATCCGAGTTGTGTCCCACACCAGTGTTCCTCTTTTGCTAAAAAACCCTGACTATTTTTTCAAAGAAGCAAACGCCACTATTTATGTTATTTGGGGTCCTTTTCGCAACATGAGGAAGGATGGCAATGGAATCGTTTACAACATGTTGAAAAAGACGGTTGATGTCTACCCAAATGCCCAAATTTATGTGACCACAGAGAAGCGCATGAGTTACTGCGATGGAATGTTTAAGAAGGAAACTGGGAAAGATAGGTAAGTCCTCTCCAAAGCAGCCTTATTGTCTTTTATGTTAAATCTTTGCAGAGTCCTTTTGTCAGCTATAAAATGAACAGAGTTACTTTTTATACTGATCACTATACATATTTTTGACTATTATGATTACTTGATGAGCCAGCAACTAGGTCCCATTAATTCCACCTACACTGCCTTCTGTTCTCTCTATTTTAATTGGCTTAAGGATCCAAGAAAGCCTGGGTGCTCCTCTACAATGTCTTTAGATCTTTTTCTTATATAGCACAACTCACTATTGATCAAATTGGATTTCAGCCAATAGAGGAAGTCTACATATTTCTGCTTTAATAGGCTGGGAAGGTGGCTCAGTGGTAGAGCGCTTACCTTGCATGCATGAGTCCCTGGGTTCGATTCCTCAGCACCACATAAGCAGAAAACAAAAGCCAGAAGTGGCACTGTGGCTCAAGTGGTAGCATGCTAGCCTTGAGCTGAAGAGCTGATGGACAGTGCCCAGGCACAGAGTTCAGGGCCCACGACTGACAAAAACAACAACAACAATAACAACAACAAAACCCCCAAAAACCCACATAGGAATGTTAAGGAACTTTAGGATTATGGGTTGACCTTAATTCCTCTGGATAGAGCAGGCTATAGATACTCTAATAATATTTCATAGCTTTTCCCATGCAAATAGACCTTGAGATATTCAATACCATAGTCAGATATCTAACTTGGTAAGCTAAATACCATATTGAAATTATGCATTACTTAAAATCATTAGCAGATGGATTCTTGAAGAGAAATGAAGTATAAATACCCTTCACTCAATTATCCAAAAACCAATTTGCATTGCTTATTATATTCATCTTTCTGTACCATTCTGTAAAATACTCTCACCACTTCCTTTCATTCAGGCATGCTCACCTCATTCCTCCCCTTTCCCTGCCCTCCCCACTTTCCTCTCTTTGTTCCTTTTTCAGCCTCCTCAACTCTACTGTCATTCTGTCACTTGCCATTTTTCTTCACCTTTAGAAATAGAACCAGTTCAAGGGAGAGAAGCAAAATTAAAATCAGCCAGTTCTGGTTGATACATTTAGCTCTAATAAACAACTGCTAGAAGAAGATATTGAAACTAGTAGCTAAAGTTTTAAATTATTTGTGAATTTTGCTTATTTGTGCAATATGATGAACAATAATTGAGCTTCAATTATAATATCAGCATTCTTATTTCCTCAATATGATCTGATCTAAAGTTTTAATTATATTGCAGTATATGCTTGAACAGAGATCTTTTCTGCAATCTCTGGATGCAATTTTACTGCTGATAAATTTTAAATCTTAGGTAGACCAACTCTCCTACTAATAATGTGAGTAGACTTTTGCCTGGAACTGAGCATTTTCTGCTTTTGTGTAGAAATATATTGCTTCATGTGAAATATGATAGAAAAAAAGCCATAAAATGAGTCTTGTTAATTATTCGAGTTTTCAAGGAGAATCCCAAAGGTTATATCTGAATCAGGGTCACATAGCTGGCTGGATAGAAAAGAAATAAGTAGAATGGGTCTGTCACATAAAAAAAAAAAACACACATTCACTTGTGGCACCATTTTATATAAATAGGGCCATTCTCAAAGGGTTTTGGAAACCTCTGGTCTCTCAGTAGCCTGGAGCAATGCAATTAGTTAGACATATTTTGTATTTGATTGGGGTTATCCCTCAGGGTATCCCAAAGTTGTAACTATAAACCCTAGAATCAGTGAAGAGCTTAGCGTGGTGTTTGTTTCTATACATGTGTATCGTGTGGCTTTTGCTGTAATCTCTCAGTAAAACAACACTGTCACAGATGTGTGCACTGCATAAGGACAGGGAGAAAACAATTTGGGAAGGCTGTGATGAGAAAAGCTGTTTACAGAGTGGAAAAATTGCTTGGTAATTTTATTCACTTGGTAAAAGTAATTTGAAGATATCATTTGGCTTGTGGAATTACCAAAATAAAAGTTTGCTTTAAAAGGTCAAAGCTATTTTACGATGCCTCCTTGCTGGTTGTTTTTCCACTGAATCTCTTTCCTGTCTGGTTACTTTTCTGAGTATACAATCAGACAGAAGGCAGCTCTGTTTTAGCAATGGGAAGAGTGGATGAGAATCTGATTAGACAATGTAAGAGTGGTCAAAATGACCTCACCTATTCACTTGATGATTTAAGTCACAGTCTTAATTTCAGCTGTGGTAAAAGTGTATTGTTTAAGGATTTCTCATGGTGCTCTGGTATTTACTGATGCTATTTCAAACAATAGTTATCTTCTAAAATATTTTATGAAGGAAACATTGAACATCTAAAGCAATAACCAATGAAATAACCTCTGTATCAGCACCCACTCAACTTGACTAATTATTAACTCATGTCCTATTTCTTGTGTGCCCTATTTACTCTTTCCTTCCCCAGATATTATTTTGGTGCAAATATCAGACATCATTTCATTTCGTTAACAAATGTTTTCCTGTACATATCTGAAATATAATTCTGGTAATAACACAAGACTTTAATTTTAAAAATAAGCTAAAAATGCAGTGTAAAATCATCAGTATTTTCTTAATTTTACCATATGTTTCATCAGAAAATGTCTCCAGTCGTCTTATGTATACAGGTATTTTAACAATGAACTTTAGTCAATCACTATTGGCATCAAGTCAATAGTTGCTATCTTTCTCTTTACTACATACATTCTCCTCATTCTCCTCCTCTTCAGGTTTTTTTTACCTTATCCACCTTACACATATTTGTTTTCCTTCTCTTTTTTTTTCTTTTGGGCAGCACTGGGTTTGAACTCAGGGCCTTGTGCTCCTTAAGAAAGTGTTCTATTAGGGGCTGGGAAGGTGGCTCAGTGGTAGAGTGCTTGCCTTGCATGCATAAGGCTCTGGGTTCCATTCCTCAGCACCATTCCTCAGATGGAAATGGTGCTATGGCTCAAGTGATAGAGTGTTAGCCTTGAGCTGAAGAGCTGAGGGACAGTGCCCAGGCCCAGAGTTCAGGCACCATAACCGACAAAAAAAAGAGCTCTATCACTTGAGCCACTCTACTGGCTCTTTTTGTATTGGTCAATTTGGAGACAGGATCTCTCTTTGTGAATAGATCATGATCCCCCTATTTATGCTTCCCCACATAGCTGATATAACAAATGCATACACCACTACCCTCAATCATTGTTTCAGATGGAGTCTCTTGAAGTTTATAGCCAAGGCTGGCCTCAAACTCTGATCCTCCACATCCTTGTCTCCCAAGTAGCAAGGATGTCAGGCTAGGGCCACTATGTCCAAGCTTTCTTCCTTTTGCCATACTGACAATCATGCAATCACAGGTCCCAGAGACACCAATGTAATTATTCATCTTATTAATATCACACACACATAATAGCAGCAACAATCTCAGAATTACAGCACAGGCTCTATCACTACTGCACACATATAGATTACAGTCCATCAAAGGAGATATTTTATGTGATCCTACATTCCTTGTAGTTCTAAATTCACAGTGGGGTTTTGTTATTATACTCCAAAAGTTCCTAATATTTCCCCATAAATAACTAGAAGTAAATTAATTGGTACATATAGTTTTAGGCATGAGAGTCTGGGAAGAAGGAGTGTCCATTTAATTTTACTTCTGGTGTAAAGCTATTTTATTTGGTTTGCCTGCACTTATCACAGGGCTGTCACCAAGTAGTCATTTTGATCAGCAGGTTTTTAATGGAGAGATCATGTCACCGTTATTAGGTATAATTTATAGAACTTTTAAAAATTATGTCTTTGGTACCTAAGGTGATTGATGATGGAAAAACGAGTAGATGGAGTCCCTCAAAGAAAAATGTTCTCAGCTTGCTTCCTCAAACTGTCAAAGTCATCTTTAGAAACTATAACCTTTCTATTTAAGGTAACCATGTGCATTTTTCCAGTCATTTCATTTTTTCTTAAAGTAGGAGAAATGTGTTCACTGTTAGACTAAATCTAAACTAACTTCATAAGTAAGTATATCGAAATACTTTCTCGAACCAAATGAAACATATTTATTTTTATTAGTTCCTGTCTAAAATTACTTAGCTTATGAATTAGAGAGTGTGACCTTGTCGGAAGGCTGGGAGAACAGAAAGAGAAGGCTGATTGCCCTTTGTTAATCTTCTGAGACCCAATTTCCTTTGGAATTCTAGGTCCTTTGGTCAATGCTTGCTTTTAGAGTTTCATTTACCAAAGATATGGCTGCAAAACAAGAATTACGAATTCTGTAGAACTTTTCAGTCCTTCCAAAGACCTTTGGAATTAAAGGTTTTGCAATTCAAAACAATCTTACCAAAATGGATCTTTTTGCCCCCTTTGAATGATTGGTATGTGTAAATAATATTAGCCTGCTGACATGTATCCATTTGTATTCATACATATGATTACTGAAATCCTTAGAGGTGTCTGTTGGGCTGACAGTGCACATGCCATGACACTCAACATTGAAGAACATGATTAAATACCCAGCATACACACATGCAAAAGATGCTTCTTCCTTGCAGAAGCATAGAGAGCCAATGCACAATATTACACTTACCTAAGAGCAGGTGGTGATTGTAGCTTGCATCCCACTTCAGAAATAAGTTGGCAAATGTAGGTGCATTATTTAATCAAAGGATAATTGAGAAAAATATAGTCTCCATTAAAAGAGCAAAGCTAATTCTGGCCTGATAAAGGACTCTGAACTGCTCCAAATAGGTCTTAATTAGCTGGCACCAATATGGCTCCACCTTCAGGGATGGATGAAATTAATGGAAGTTAGCAGCAAATAGATCAGTGTTTCAAGATGTCTCTGCCTCGGGTGAAGAGGGGTGAAGAAAGGGAATTGTTGCTAAGGACTATTTAGGAAGTGTGATGTACAAGTCTCTTTCAGAAAATACTGAGTAAAGAGAAGGCTGATTTGTAAATATAAAATTTTCTATACTGGCTCATATTTGTCACCATGTTCCATCCATTCCTACTCAATCTTAAGG